ATATATATATATATATATATATATATATATATATATATATATATATATATATATATATATATATATATATATTTAATGAACATTTTCTTGCTCTGTCCAAGACTTGATCATTTAGAAAAATGCATCTGTGTTTCTTTGATTGTTTCTTTGCTTGTGTTGTGACTTTTCACCTAGTGCTTTGGCTTTTTTATTTAAATACTAGAAAAAGAAGTCAGAATCCAACCATCATCAAAAGTTGTGGGTATGTGTAGAGGCATTGCCAGATATTCCTTCTTCCTCTAACTAATACAGGTAACCTACATACCAGTTAACCTACGCCACAACCATAGATATCTGATATAAAATGTTTACCTGAACATCCCATACTGGGTAATTGTGACCTTTGTAGCAAACAAGACTGGCATTTAGTTTTGTGCTCCACAATCGAACTGCAGCAGGAAAACAGAAACTTTCAAAATCTAAAAAAAAGAAAATCATAACCAAACTTAAAAGAAAACAGAGGGCCAGTACGATCATACTAGTTGTGTCTGCAGAGGATGAAAGAACGAAGTCCCCAATGGGACTGAAAGTGGCAGAGTGAACAGGCCCAGAATGACCTTGAAATAATGTATAAGACCTCTTCCCACTTGTATGCCCTGTCACTGGATCACTAGTAGACATGTCGTTTTCATCCTGCAAAACAGCTGATAGACGTGATAGTGAAAGTCAAATTCTCTTCTCAAATGTCCGAGCAAAGGAATTTATTAGAAAAAACAACTCATGATGATGATTAGTGTGACACCAAGAGGAAGCAAGCTGATCTATTCGATAATGAAATCTGGGAAGGGGGAATGCTAAACAATTGGTGACTTAGATCAAAGTTGGAATAATGAAACGACGAATCAATTCTCATGAAGTAGGAAATAAGAAATTCCTCAAGAATTAAGGAAAAGGGTGGAGGGAAAATCAGAAGCACTATAAAATTTTATACAACTTCAGTCCATATTATGAAAAACCAGAAAGATCTCTACTGGCATTCCTTTACATAAAGAGTACACATGAAATATCAATAACATGATATCTATAGTAATGCGTATAAACTTGACACTTGAGCATGAGTTTTATTCATAAATCTACACCAATTTACTAGGATAAACACAAATGCCTTGAAATAACAAACCTAATCTGTGTTCCAGAGCCCCTGGCTATTGTTATATCACATGAATATTGAAATGAACACCAACATGCATGAAAAGGTTTTTATATATAATTTTTCTTAAAAGCATAAGATATTAACAGTATGATAACAAAAACTAAAAGCCAGAAACATAAAAAACTGCCCATGGCAGCTCAACTTATTTTAACAGACTTACTATTGCCAGCTTGTTGTCCCAGCTTTGCCATGTCCCAAACCTGCAGAGAACCACCAAGATTTTTTAGGTGAGCAAATAATAATTAGGCCACCCTAAGAAACTTAAAAAGAAGACCTACCTTCAATGAAGAGTCTGAAAATCCACCAGCAACTAAAGCTCCATCATGAGATATTGATGAACAGTTTAAACTACATCAGAATAAATGATATCAATTGCATGCGCATTGAGACTGAATAAACTGTTGACATAGCAGAAACAGAAAGAAAACTTGATGGATACCCGTTGTGTGTATTAATGAAGGTATAAAAGCTGACTGATGGCAGAGCAACAGAACTCAACTGCACACGGTTTCTCAAGTCTTCAAGAATAGATTGTTCCACCTCTGTTGTACTGGAAGCAATCAACACGACAAATCAATAGCAAGGAAGAGCAGTGTGGCTGTAGTAGTACAGTAATCACTTAGATAAGAGCTATATTTTATGACTGTAGGCAACAAAATAACATAAGATTCAAGAAAATACATTATAGGTAAAGCAAGCTCTGGCTTCACTCGTGGCGCCATAGATGCAGAATTAGCTTCAGCCCTCAGAGTTTTCCCAGGTGCACCGGCAGTCTTGTCCTTCTTGACCTTCTTAATTGAAGCACCTTGCTTTCCTCCCTCAGTTGTTCTTTTCTAAAAAAGCAAATGAGGGCATGCAACTCATGGGATTTTACAATAAACAATAATAAGATGCAGATTTATAAAATAGTAGCAATTTAATAACAACTTATAGATAAAATACAGTATATCCGCTAAAGATAAGAAGCACAGAATCACCACAGGTACCTTATTCTCATCCACATCACCATCCTTGGTTTCTACCTCAGCCTTCTCAGAATCTGAAAGCAAACCAGCAGCTTTCTCCAAGCGTTCTTCTAAAGAATCTTCAAGTAACTATTACCAACATAAATTTAAATATAACAATCAAGGAATTTTAAATTGAAGAGGATGTCAAATCAGAAAAAATTAAAATGAAAGAAAGGAAGAAGAGAGAAAAGAAAACCCATAAACAGCACATACAGATTGTTGCCGTAATTTACATTTTGACATAATTTTTAATTCTTTTAGAGAAAACAAGAAGGATATCTTTCTACATTTTAAATTGAGAAAAGGACCAAAGATGTCATAGCTTATCAACAAAATAATAATAGAAATTACCACAACCAAGCATAATAATAGACAACCCAAAGATCAGAACGTATAGGCTAAGTAAGTTGGTAGTTTGCCCACCCACCCCCCATTGGACTTCTTTTTTATTTATCTGATTGGCAGTCTCCTGGGTGCTTCCCGAGAGTGTCACCAGTTCAGCATCATCAGATATTGAGCTAGGCTGACCGGGGAAAACTGCAAAACCAGATGAAGCTTATAATAGAGTCGGAAGATAAAACACTTGCAACTTGCATAAAGACTAGACGATCCGAAGCAAGTGTTAAAAGGAAACAGACCTTGGAAGTTGATACGCTCATTGATAATCCCAAGTATCACTGTGGTTTGGGTCTTATGAAGATATTGAAGTAGCATCTCATAGGAGTACTAAACAACATAATTGGAAAATAAAACCTTTCAGAAAATATAGTTTGATTAGTTCAGTTCTGTTCATGAGAGATCTAAAATGACCGATAGATAATCGAGCAAATGCATGATAATCATGAACATGATACTAAATAATGATTGAAAACCTAGGGATTACCTGGCATATTTTTATGTTAACTTTGCTCTGCCTTAGAGAATGAGCAAATTCCATCTCCTAGAATATATTATCATCATAATGTCAAAACCAGTGCCATCGCCACAAAACAATGACAGGAACATAAGAAAGTCATTACTGGTTAACAACAAACCTCCAAATGAGAAGGAGATAGTACGCCTTCCAACTTTTGTAGATCTCGTAGGTGCAACATTTCATGGTCTTCACGGAACCTATTGAAAAAGGTTCGAGCTGGAAGATAACAAGCAAAATAATAAAAAATTAATCAAACGTATCTCCATTACATGAGATTGTAAAAGAAAAATTAGTTTGCAAACCTTCTTGAATATGTCCTTTAGCCACGAGATCCATGAAACAATGGATAAACACAGGATATAGCACACGAAGCAATTCATGCTGAAATGCAAGAATTAAAGTTCTCATTATCGGAAGGAAAAGTTTAGAATGAATCATAAATTCAAGGAAAAAATTAAGCAACTACTTACCTTGTACAAATCTAGCGAGTTGTAAGCCCAGGACCTAAGCTTGCTATATCCTTCAAGGTATCTGGCTGGAATATTCTCTACTCTGGAAACAAAAACAATAAAGAGCAAAAAAAAACTCTATAAATACTTCTGTTCAATAAAATACAATATGTTAATGAAAGAAGCAAATAAACAAGAATGAGGATGGCAACCATGACACTATTGCTATCCTTCTAAACCCAAAAGTCAAGAGAGATCTCAAAGAAAATTTCTAATTGTTACATAAATGAAAACATGTGTAATGAGAGTGTGTGTAGACTATGTTACATGTACTAAGTGATTTGGAATTGGCTGCTTTAGATTTGGCTGTAGACTATGTTTGGCTTTCAACCTATTTATCTTTTTGGCAGCTTGTGATAGAGAGAGCTCAACGTAGAAACATATTTCCATATCAAAAGGAGGTAGGTACACTCTTATACAAGCTACCCTTTCTAGCATGCCTCCATACTACCTTAGTTTAAATTACCATCAAAGGTGGCCACATCTTTGGACAAATTCATTCCACATTCCTCTTGGAAAGGTTCGGAAGGAGATTTTGGCTTGCATAACATCAGTTGGGAGATGAATCAATTATCTCATCTCTTGGGAGGCTTTGAGATTGGAAATTTCCGTTTGAAATTCAGCACTCTTGGCTAAATGGATTTGGAGGTTTTTCATGGTTTGTGAAACAAAATAATATGGAAATATGTGGAATCATTCTATATTATTTTAGCTAAATGGATTTGGAGATTTGGAGGTTCCACAAAGTTCGTTAAAAAAAAAGTCCAAATTCCAGGCTCCATCATGGACTCTCTCTAACTGTTACTAAACAATAATCTTTTGTAATTTGCTTCTAAATGAAGTGGTTTCTTGTAAGCTCCTAATCCTCCGGAAAAGTACACGTAAATTGAGAATACGCTACCCCACAAGATATGATCAGCATTTTCGAGTAAGTAGCTCTCAAGGGATTAACATTAGCTAGGGTACAAGTCTAGTCGTTATAATCAAAAGCATTTAAAATCAATTCATCGTACAAGAAACCGTTCGCTCTATTCTTAAGCCCATCGTCCGTAACACTCCACAAAAAATTCTAGTTTACAACCATAGATCCTTAAAAAAAAAACATTTCAAAGTTTATAATTTATCAACATACAAAACAAACAAAGGTTCGACTGATTCAAAAGTTCGCACAACATAAGAACTAACAAAATGCAAATGAAAGTTCGGAATCGAGAAGAATTACAAGGGGAGAGAAATTACTCGGAGAAGGAGAGCAAGCGCTTAGCGAAGTCGAGGTCAATGGAAGAGGCTGAAGAGGATGAATTGGTCTTGTTATGGCGTAGCTCATCCTGAAAAGCTTGTTCCGTTTCTTTGAAACCCTTCTTCTTCAAGTACGCTGACACAAAATTCGCTATCTGTTCTTCGTCCATTCTGCAACCTTCTGCAATTCACCTTCTCGCTCCACAAATTTGCCCCTTCCCGCACTTCTCCACGGCTCTCTCTCTCTCTCTCTCTCTCTGGAAGCGAACTTGGAGAGGAGGGAACTGTAACTGGACTGGGCGCGGGCTAAGGTGTTTTATTAATGGGCCTGAAAATATCGGAAATTCTGAAAAATATCAAATATATTATGTAAAAATTAAAATTAGTTGAGATGAAAAAACTTCAGCTAATTTAGGGAATGATCATGAGTTTATAAGTGAGGAATTAGGTAATAATCATGCGTTTATAAGTGAGGAATACTAACTCCATTGGTATGAGGCTGGAAGCCCAAAGCAAAGCCATGAGAACTTACCCTCAAAGTGGACAATATCATACCATTGTGGAGAGTCGTGTTCGTCTAACATCCTTAAATGACGAACAAAGGACTCTAAAAGGAGGCTAGGACTCCAAAAGGAGTCAAGCCTCCATTGGCAAATCCTTAAATGTCGAACAAAGGACTCTAAAAAAGGAGTCAAGCCTCCATTGGCAAATCCTTAAATGTCGAACAAAGGACTCTAAAAGGAGGCTAGGATTCCAAAAGGAGTCAAGCCTCCTCGAAGGTACGAAGGCAGTAAAAAATGACTAAAGACTCCAAAGGAGTCGAGCCTCGATTAAAAAAATTCTAAACCGAGTTTAAAATTTAATGCAATTAAAAACAAATAAAAATAAATTGGAGTTGGAGCTCAATGGACCTATCTCAGCCATTTTTATGGGCTTCACTGTTCCAAATTTCGTTGGGCCCAGTTAAGCCCACTCGAATAGTTCAATAATTACCTTATCCATATATTATAAATAATGAAAATGGAAAATATATAATTTTTTTTTTTAATAAATTATATAATAAGAATAATATTGCAGTTTTTTTAAATAATACCGACAGTAATTTTGAAGGGTAGTTTTCGAAATTTAATCTGAAAAAGGTAAATCAGTAATTTTCTTAGATAAATAGCTTTTTCCATCTTACATCATATTAATTTAGGTGGACCGACTTTCCTCTGTCTAAATATCAAAGGACGAGTCTCCCGTAAAATGTAAGTTGACAATAGCAAGCAACACAATCAAACATAAAACTTGACTTAAGAATCATCTACACGGGCTCGATAAATTTAGGTAGTCCCACTTTCCTCCATCCAAATATTAGATGACAAATTTCTCGTGAAGCGTAAGTTTTCAATAGTAAACAACACATATCAAACATAAACTCGACTTCAACCTAATGGGCACCTACAAAATATTGTATCTATCATTGGAGGGGCACATGGGGTGATGTATGGGTCGAAAGCAATGGAAAAAATGTCATTGTAGCTTAAAAGATGAATTATTGGTAGTGGTGACGATGACGTGGCAATCATGCCCCCACTGACTTTGCCCATGAAAAAACTGTCCAGTTGGATTTTAACGGGGCCACGTCGACACGCTCAACAGAAACAGAATTCTCAGGTCCATACGTGGCTTGCCAAATATTCAAAACTAATGTATATATTTCAAATCCAAATAATGGCTTATCATATCGTTTTCCTTGTCTGTGGGGCCACGCAAATATGCTCTAGCACTCTAAACGAATTAAAATTTTATTTGATAACAATTATTATCAAAGTATGCTCTAGCACTCTAAACGAATCAAAACTAATGTATTTATTTATTTTTTTTGGAAATAAATAAACCAATCAAAACTCGCCATGATGGATTATTATTGGAAACAACTCAATTTTAAATTTTGAATTTGGTGTGTATTTAATTGTTTTTTATTAGTATAATTTAATTATAATAATAATCTTTTAAAAAAAAAAAAAAAAATTGAGCAGCCGCTAATGGAGCGGCTAAGTGCCTGGTAATCTTTATCAAAGTGAGCCGCGCCAGCGGGACCTGATTTATTTATTTTTTAAATTTTATTCCAATGATGCCCCTTGGAGGCAACGGGGCGCTTTACTTTGCTTTTTCCTCGTTTCTCAAAATATGGAAAAGTTCCGAAATGAAAATGAAAAAAAATAAAATATTACATTTAAACTTTAATTAGGAATAAAATAATTAATATTTTATCACAATCGCACTTTTGATGACAGCGGACTTACGATTGTGCGGCACACACTTTCCAGCAAGAAGTGAGTTAAGTCAATTCGTTATTGTATTGCCTACAGCCAAGCGACGTATGCTCGAGCTTCTACCCCGATTCAAGAATAACATTTTAGAAAACAGGAACAAAAAGATTTCGAATGAGAGTTTTGAAAACAAAATTTAAGAGATTGAGATTAGTGTTATATGCGAGGCAAGCAAAAAGACAATATCAACGACTTAACCATAATTAATCATATACTGTTTAATTGAAAAAGTAGGTAAGTGCATAAAAAAGCCACGACGGTTACCAATAATTAGCTTTATATAATAAAAACAAATATAATTTAATCCTATCAAAGTATAATAATATTTTTATGTAGACTAATTTTATTTTACGTGTCATTTTAATTACCATATATCTATTAATTCTTAAATTAAATGACACGTAAGAGATAACAAAATAATTTAAGACTAAATAATCACCGTCGGCAAACCCCCATGCTCCGGTCGGGATTATCGCCGGTTGTTTCGAAACAATGCTTGATTTCCAAGTTCCACGCGCTCTTGACTTTCTTCATGAAAGAATTTGCTTCCGACAAGCTGGTGGGGTCCATCGCGTCTAAATTAAGTGGAAAAAAAAAAAAAGAAACAAACAAATCAATCAAATCAATAAATTTAAAAATAAAATTTAAACTCCAATATTCAAAAATGTATTTATAACCTTACCAAATCAAATAATTTTTGCACTTTCAACAGAAAAGTGCAAAAATTAATTATTTTGTTAGTTTCAAATTAATTTATCGAACCTATAAAAGGTACATTAATAAAAATACGATATAAATATTTTTTTCTTTAAAAATAAATTTACATAAACATTCAATTTTTAGCCTAAATTAAAAAAAAAAAAAAAAAGCTTCAAGCTTTCAATAATATCAAATATATTATATTTTAAAATACCCACAATTATATTTTTATTTAATAACGTAAATTTATTGTTCATTATCGTCAATTGTGGGCTAAGTTAGGAGTATGAATCTCGGGTGTTTTAGATAGCTTCTAAACTTTCTTTTAAATTTTGTCATGTAAGAAATCTTAAAACGATATTATAAGAACTAACATGTCACAATCAACCAACTTTTTATATAAAAATAAATTAAATGATAATTTAAACTAATTGATGATCATTAAATATGTTTGTATATAAATATATTGGTTAATGGTTGCTAGACATCATTGCTAGCAGCCAAATTACAAGGGATGATTAAACCAAAAAATAAAAATGTTAGGGAAAAGCCAAGTGGGCAAAGATATTTGATTGTTTATAATTAAATATTAATTTTATGTCAATATTCACATTTTTTTTAAATACATAAATTTATACACATACAATTTATTTTTAATTATAAATTTTTAACACTTTTATATATATATTTGTAAAATTAATTAGTTTATTAAACACTAAATTAAAATTTTAATTTAATAGGTATTTTTAAAATTTTAGAGATGGGACTTATTTTAAGAATTTAAGATTATTTATATTTTTGTCCTATTATAATACAGGTAGTGTATATGCCTACTTTTGGGCCTCATGGGCTTCTCCTCCATGTATAAAAACCACGGTAAGGAATCCTTTCTGTGTGCTCAAGAACCAGGAATCGCGGCGGTTCCCAGTTTTTACCTATTTCTCTCTTCTTCAGTCAACTATCTCTCCCAGTTTCAAGCCTTGATTCTTATAATTTCACACACCATCTCTAAATTTCCCCGATGGAATCCGTCGGAATCAGTATCTACGCCGTTCTTTCCTCGATTCCGTCGCCGTATTTTTCCACGATTGTAAGTGAATTTCTTATCTAGATTCGGAATTGGCCTTGATTCAAATCTGTGTGTGTGTTTGGGGATTCTCTGTTTTAATGGAGGAGAGGCATGTTCTGTTTGGTAAATATGAGATTGGGAGGTTCCTTGGGAAGGGGACTTTTGCTAAGGTCTATTATGGAAAAGAATTGGAGTCTGGAGAAAGTGTAGCGATTAAGGTTTTAAACAAGGATCAGGTCAAGAAGGAAGGGATGATGGAGCAGATCAAGCGCGAGATCTCCGTTATGCGTCTTGTTCGTCATCCAAACATTGTTGAGTTGAAGGAAGTAATGGCGACGAAGACGAAGATCTTCTTCGTTATGGATTATGTTCGCGGTGGTGAGCTCTTTGCCAAAGTTGCAAGAGGAAGACTCAAGGAAGATGTGGCTCGGAAGTATTTCCAGCAGTTAATCAGTGCCGTCGATTACTGTCATAGTCGTGGAGTTTCTCACCGCGATTTGAAGCCGGAAAATCTTTTGCTGGATGAGAACGAAGATCTCAAGATCTCCGACTTTGGACTCTCCGCTCTACCGGAACAGCTTCGGAACGATGGTCTTCTCCACACGCAGTGCGGGACTCCGGCCTACGTCGCACCGGAAGTACTAAGAAGAAAGGGCTACGATGGAGCCAAAGCCGATATCTGGTCTTGCGGTGTGATTTTGTATGTTTTGTTAGCAGGATTTCTTCCGTTTCAGGATGAGAACATCATGACCATGTATAAGAAGGTTTTCAAAGCCGAATTCGAATGTCCGCCATGGTTCTCCGCTGAAGCGAAGCGTTTGATTTCAAAAATCCTCGTCGTAGATCCAGAAAGACGAATCACAATCGGAGCAATCACGCGAGTTCCTTGGTTCCGGAAAGATTTCTCGAGATCGCTCTCGTTCACGATGAAAGAATTAGTCGCAGCGAAAACAGAGGATTCCGATTCCGAGAGTCCAAAACTATCGACGCCAAAATTCTTCAATGCGTTCGAGTTCATATCGACGATGTCATCGGGATTCGATCTATCGAGCTTATTCGAAAACAAAAGGAAGACGGGATCCATATTCACATCGAGATGCTCAGTGTCGACGATCATGGAGAAAATCCAGACGGTGGCGAAGAGACTGAGCTTCAAGGTCTCGGAAGTGAAAGACTTCAAGCTCCGGCTGCAAGGTCCGGGGGAGGGGCGAAAAGGAAAGCTGTCTGTGACGGCGGAGGTGTTCGAAATAGCGCCGGAAGTTGCCATAGTCGAATTTTCAAAGTCGGCCGGGGATACTCTGGAATATTCGAAGTTCTGTGAAGAAGACGTTCGGCCGGCGTTGAAGGACATCGTTTGGACGTGGCAAGGTGATTGTGTCCCTACCGGTGACGGACGTCACGGCCAACTTGACGGCGACGGCTTTTTGTGAAAAAAGGGAGATAGATGGTGACAGCGTGTGTGAAGATTGGTTTCTGTTACAAGTTTTAACTGCTTTTTCTTAAACACAAATAGCCTTTTGGAGGGAAAAGAGTGCTTTTTGCTGCGAGTTTTTGTGAATACCAACTTTACCAAATACTATTATAAAAAGAACATCTAAAAAGTAACAAAATTTAAAATATATTTTAGTTAAATATGATATGGGTGATTTTGTACTACACAGTTAATTGGCGACTTGAATTTCTATTATCATTCACTGAAAATTTGATGGACTTCGATGTAACACGGCCCAAATTGAATTCCTTTGTTCGGCCCATTTTGTGGATTTCGATGTAATACTCGGCCCATATTGAATTCGTTTGTTCGGCCCATTTTCATTGTCAGGCCTAGGGGCCCAAATCCAGATTCGAAGCAAGTTGCAAATATTTAAATAAGTTTTTAAAAAAAAATCAAAACTTCCATCATAATTTATTTGAAATTATTAAATTATATATATATATAGCTGGCAGGTTCAAATATATCACTAATATTTTTAATAAGTGATTTTCAAATTTAATATATATTTTAATAAAGTTTCCGAAGGCAACATTCTTCCTTTTTTATTCCTTTTGACACACAAAATAATAGCAATCACTTAATTATTGCATGCCAGCGCATTAATATTTTATTATAATATAAATTCCATATAATTTTAGAATATGATTCTTTTTAAGAAAACATTAAACTGCTGACGTGTGAGCCATTTTTTCTCAATAAATAAATAATCTTAATTTGAGTTGAAATTCATTTTAATAATATCTTTTATTCATATAAAAAAAATGTAATTTAATATTTGAAATTGAAGTTTATCACATTAGTGAAAAGATTTATAATTTTAAAAATTGATTTTTATGATTTTTTTAATGAAATAAAACCAATTGATGTGATAAAAAGGGTACCAAGCTTTTGAAAAGGTAGATCTGGAACTGAATTTATCACAGTTGTCCAAAACTAAATTCAAAACTATTATAATTTAGAATATATGCAATCACAGTTTTCTCAATTATAAAATAATTATTTCTAAAATAAATTAATTAATTAAACTAAAAAAAAAAAAAAAAAAGCAACAGCATAGGATTCTGATTCAGAAGAAAAAATTGTAATAAATAAATAAAAAAAAGTATAAGATAGAATGAAAAAGAATATGAACTAAATATCAAATCCTCATTCTTACTAAGTTTGACTAAAAAAAATTTGAAATATTTTCTTATTTTCCAGCTTTTTTTTTTCAATTCGGTCCAACTTAAAATATTATTTATCTCTATAGATTTATTTGGTTTGTTGCCTACTTTTTATTTATAAATATTTTCAAATTTTAAGTTATATATTTTTACAACTTAAAATTAAATTATTTTTATAAATTGAATCCATTTTTTAAAATGTGAAAACATAATGGAGGAGTAAGCCATTCTTTAATATAATATATTTTGGAGGTGTAAATAATTTCATAAAAAACATAATATAAAATTAATAAAAAAATTGTTATTATTATTATTATTCTTATATATAATTTCATTATAGTGATTTTATTTTATAATTGGCCTGAATCATTTTAAATCATACAAATTGGTTAAATATTAGTTACTTTTTTTTTAAATTAATCTAAATTTTATTAATTATAATTATTTACATTAATAAACGATTTATAAGTTCAAAACTATTTTTTTTTTTAATTAAAATTTTAAAATCCATCAAAAATTCATAATTTTTGGAAGTATTAAAAATTAAATATGTTAAATATATATATATATATATATATATATATATATATATATATATATATATATATATTTTTTTTTAGATTGAGACCTCAACAAATCGAATCGAGCATAATGGTATAAAACGAAAAACTAAGAATCAAATCGTTATAAAAAAGTACTTCAATAGAAGAAAATTTGATAAAATTTTAATATATTCCACTTTTTGAAAGACGTAAAATGCTTTTAAGTATTTTAACCATTAGATTAAGATTAGTATCGTTTTCAAATTTAAATGTTACCTTTCTTGTATTTTTCTTATAAACTATCCGACCGAGAATTTCTTTCTCTATACTTTTTTTTTCGGAAAAATATTATCTTTATAAAGTTTGTTAAGATATGTCTGAATATAAAATATGAAAAAGTATTCGTATTTTAATTTAATTTTTTTTTAGGAATAAAAGGAAGAACAAGCTTCTAAACAAAGAATCATATTCGTCATCAAATCAAAATTAAGGTTATTGTCATTCTTAATTATCGTCAAATTTAAGGTTATTATTTTAATTTATATTCACGTAATTAGTAATTAATATATTCTTGATTAATAACCATTGCAAATTATTTTAATACAAGTCAATTAACTATAAATTTGTAATGTAAATAAAGGTTTTTTTTGAATAAATGGTAAATTAATATATATATTTTATTTCTAATTTTAATAATTTTTAATTAAAGAAATTTGAGGTAGAAATTTGATTTTTTTATAAAAACATTAAAAACCTACTGAAAAACTAGTTTAGATATTATATATATATATATATATATATATATATATATATATATATAATCAATTAATTTTTCTAAACTTTTATTTTTGGAGAGAAAAAAAAAGAAGCTTAGACATGACAAAAGTAGTATAACATTAAAGGTATAAAGGAACCATAAATTTTGAAATATATAAAAAAGAAATTCGTATAAATATTTCAATAAATCTACTCGTCTTATTTTTTATTTTTACCAAAATTTCAAAAATAACCCTACTTTATCTCTTGAAAAGGCAAAAAAGTTCGATAAATGACACCGATATGTGGTCCATTGCCAACCACAAACCAGCCATCGAGCTAAAAAATGACTTAAGTTTAGTCCCTAAATATTGAGATTTGCGTCGGTTTGATTCATAAACTTTAAACAAAAATGTTTAATAAAATTTTGAGGTTTCGAAGTTTATGTCTATTTGGATATATCTAAGCTTTAAAATATGTCTGTGTGATGTTCGAGTAGATGGGATTTATGGATAAAATGATCATAAACGAGAAATACTTACATAACGAGGTTGAGTGGAACTTGTCCCAGTAGGATGCGGTTCGGGGACGAAGCATGTTTAAAAAATATATTTTCAAAATTAGAGAGAAAACTTTATTTTTATAAATTTATTGAAACTACAAGAAGCGAAGTGATAAAAAATCAAACTTTCTCCTTCCCATTCAAAACAAAATGGGCAGAAAAGTAAATTCATTTTCAAAAGCGCGTGGGACCCTTACACACTCAAGTCAACCATTCCACTCCACTTTCAAAGTCAACATAACCACAAAACAAAATTAATTTTAAAAAATAAAAAAGAATGTGATGTTTTATGAATGAATGTTGGACTAATAAAAGAATTCCAAAACCGAATTCCAGAAAAATGGGACCCTCTTCTGCAAATTTACCTTTTTTTTTTTAATTTTTTTTTTAAATTAATTATTATTATTATTTTTTACCTCTTCTCTTTATATATAACTCTTTTTGATATAATCACTCAGTTTTGTGCAAAATCCTTCTTATTTTTGTTCTAAAAATGGATATTTTCTTGGACCTTAACATGGATCCTTCTTCTTCTTATGCTAACTCCGCCATGGATGACCCTCTTCATCCTTCTGTGAGTTCCTTTTGCTCTCTCTTTTTTGGCTGTTTTCATGGTGATTTCTGATCTACTATGCTTTGAAGCAGAAAAAAGACAAGTTTGAAGAAGAAATGTATTGGGATAAAGAACACCTCTCATTGAGCTTGGCAAATAAGGTGAACCCCATCACCCATTACCTTAATTTTGTGTGTGTGTGTGTGTTTTTTTTTTTAACTAACAAGCTCCAAATGGTTCCTGATTTGAGCGAACCCCTTGAGCCATCGAGCTTAGTTTATGAGCTCGTGGTTAAAAAATGATTCACAATTTGAGCATATGTCAATTGATTGATATTAGTATAGCAAAGTTCAAATTTTGAAGATGTTAGGGTTTCGTGTAACGATACGTCAATAACCCGAGTAGTTTTGTGGATTGTGAAGGCGCATGGAAGTGATTCGAGTCGGAGATTGGAAGAAGAGTTGGATAGGAAAATGGTGGAGAATGGGAAGCTAAGTCAGATGTTGAGAATAATGTATGAGAAATACATAAATCTTCAGAAGCAAGTGATGTGTTTGGTGAGCCACCAAAAGCAGAGCTCAGAAATGGAAGCTCTAATTTCTTCAAGGAAGAGAAAGGCAGAAGGAGGAGAAGAAGAAGAAGAAGAAGAAGAAGAAGAAGAAGAAGGGATTTGCAGCACAAGAGATGAAGATTTCAACAGGTGGCTTAAGAGGCCAAGACTCAATGGAAACCCTAAGGTTTCTAAGGTTTTTGTGCACAAAGATGCATCAGATCCAAGCTTGGTAAGTTTCTTAGCCCTACAAAACCCTAACTAGGTTTTAGACATAGCTAATTAGGGTTTCGGTTCGGGTTCGATAGCCCGAGACTCACATCTGAATACTGAAAGAGAGAGAGACTCGTCTTGCGTATTGGATTGAGTACAGGGTCGATGCTTCTGACCAAACCACTGTTTGCTTCACCCATCTTAGTTTTTTTTTTCCCTTTCCTAAATTTGTCCATAAGTTTGACTTTAAAAAGTTGACTTTTTAAAGCTCGGATTTAGCAGTTTAATTTGTTGAATTTGGGTAGGGAGACCTATAAAGATTGACACTGAATTCAATACGAACATAACTCAACGATAATTGACATGTACTTCTTTCTATGAGGTCAGAGATTCAAATCCCGGTTCCGGTTCAATGATTAAAATTAATTTTGGAGTAATTTGGGTAAGAGGGTTTGATTTAAAAACCCTAATTGGTATGAAATTTTTATGAAAAAGGTGGTGAAAGATGGGTATCAATGGAGGAAGTATGGCCAAAAGGTCACAAGAGACAATCCTTCTCCAAGAGCTTACTTCAAGTGTTCCTCTGCACCAAATTGTCCAGTAAAAAAGAAGGTAAATTTTGTTTATAATTTTGAGAACAGTAAATAAGAGACTAGAAAATGAAAAATAATTTTTTAAAAATTACTGAGTTTTTTTTTACTGGTTTAGGTGCAAAGAAGTTTGGAAGATCCAGCAATTTTGGTGGCCACTTACGAAGGAGAACACAACCATGCCAGCCATTTTCAAACTGAGCTTTCTTTAAGGTCCATCAATGGCGGGAAAGGCAGCGCAGTCCCGGTCTTAGCCACGATCAAGCCGTCGTGCGCCACCGTGACCCTCGACTTGATTCATGAAGATGGACTGTTTAAGAGTCCTAAAGATTACGCGTCGTCGGAGTCAGCGGTGTCGACGGAGGCAGCCGTTTGGCAGGAGTTTTTAGTACAACAAATGGCTTCTTCCTTGAAGAAGGATCCTGAATTTGCTGGCATTGTTGCTGGTGCCATTTCCGACAAGGTTTTGGGAAACCAAACAAACTGAGAATAAACCTTAAAACCCTCAAATGCTAAAGCCTTTGTGTTCTATTTTTGCTTTCTTTTGTAAATATTTGTTTGTTTGGATTATGTGTTGATTATCAATTTTGTTTTGTCAAAAAAGAAATTAACAAGCCATTTTAATAATTATATAATCTATAAATAACACATAAATTAGAGTGTCTCTAGGATATATATATATATATATATATAAAATGTTATTAATTTCGTGTTTTTTTTTATAGTACTTCTTAGATCTTGTTCGGTAACAATTTTATTTTTAGTTGTATTGTTTTTTTTATTTAGGCGAGTGTAGATTCATTTTTCTTAAGGAAACATTTGAATTTTTAATCAAATTTCTTTTAGTTGTAAAAATCTGAATTGATTTTTAAAAACATTCATCCTTAGAAAGTGAATAACAAAGGGTTTATAAGCTTAATTAATTTTTAAAATTTAAAAATAAAAAAATGATTAATTTGAATATGTTTATTTAAAAAAATTTGCCCGACCATCTAGATTTTCATCAAGACCAAGTTCATGTTTTTGTGAAAATTAATGTTTAACAAAGAAATAACGTTAAAAATAATAATAAAAAAACCTAAATCATAATTTATCAATTTGGTCCAATTTGATATCTAGATTTTTATTTTTTTTAAGTGATCCCTAGGATTTTTTAAATTTCAATTGGTCTCTCGCAATCATGCTAAGTCCTTACTAAATTAGTTACACGCTTTCTAATATTAGGTGACAATAGGTAGCCATTTTCTCTTTGATGGAATGTATCGGTTGAATTTATTAATATTTATAACTACTTAAAAAATGAAGAAAATGGGGACGATTTAAAGTAGGTAAGAAACACCTAAACATAGCTCGACGATTCGAGACACGACATTTTTAAACAAAAAGTTACATATTATATTTAAAAATAAAAAAATTTAACTATAGAGACCAAATCGAGAACTAATTTAAAAAAAATATATAAATATATTAGCCGTATACTTGAAGCCGAACAAAATGATAAATTTGTGTATCCCTCGACCAAAAAAGTTAGAAGTTTGAATTTCTCGACCCGTTGACCTAAAAAGACAAGTATGGAAAGGGGGAGGGAATGGGAACAAAATCGTCCGCAAAAGTTGACTGAAGAGGACAAGAGTTGAAGAATATACACTTAACTTGTCGTGCGTGAAAAGGAGTTGGAGTTTGTAAACTGATGGATTAATAATTGTTTGAATTTCAATGCCCATTGACTTCAAATTTCTTTGTTTCTTGTCTGTTTGTTCTTTCTATTATTAGTCTTAGACGCCCATATCCTCTTTTATAATGCATAAAGAATGTGAATTTAGTCTAATACCGACTTAATAAAGGAGAAAATTCGAAGGTTCGTTCTAGTTTATATCTCGGAGTATTACTATGGTCGATCTATCACCCAAATGAATAGTACGTAAAGAAATGGCTTTTTGATCCCTGATCTAAGTCTTCCAATGCACATAGTTGAAGTCTGATCTCAGATTACCGACCCCATTTTGATGCGGTATGGTTCTTGTGACCCTACGACCTTTTGAGTAGCCACAATTTAATTAGGATTGGTCTTATGATGAAACAATTCAGGTGTTAACACCTAGCCTTATGAGTCGAAATAGAAAACACATGTGCAATCCTATCTCCAATTGAGACCACTCGACTGATCTCATCCACTTTCAAATTCGTGTTCTTTTGTCCTAAAGTCATTTTCCATTCCAATTTTGAATAGCAAAGAAGGTGACAATCAAGTCCCCGTAGATGAAAGACCAAATACAAAAGTTCGAGGTAGAGGACCAATTAGACACTTGACGGAGGAAACTAGAGACGTGGATTAGATCGCAAATCTTCAAACTCCAAAGGCATTTTTATGTTATTTTAAGAAAGAATGAAAGAAGATAACAAAGTAATGAGGAAATAATTGCAGGGTCATGAATGTGTTAAATGGAACATGAACAAACTACAATTACATACAATATATTTTACAGCCACAGCTCTAATCTAACCAAGTCCTATTTGAGTGCTTCTGCGCCCCAAAACTCTACCATCCTATCAGTAACTCAGTTACACAAACATGACAGCAACACAACGGCTGATGAGTTCCAGATCCCTGTAATTATTTCTTCTTTTGTTAACAAATTATACACGTTTGGTAGCCGACTTGCTGCTGAGTTTCATCCGAACACCCGCTACTTATTCTACATCCTGTGCCACTGAAACGTTCTTCAATCCAATATGAGCGACGTTGACGTTAACGTTGGCATTATTCGATTGCGCATGATGGGTTATGGGTTACTTTGATCACAGTGTATGTAGAATAACTTAGTATGTTATAGACATGTTTGTTAGGACACTCCGGATCGTTCAATGTCGCTACGCTAGGTTGGTGTCTGCATGAAGAATCGCGACTCCTTTTTCGGGGTACTGACCTTTAACTTATCCTTTTCTGCAGCTTCCTTCTGTGCTTTCTTCTTTTCATAATCAAGCTGCTTACAGTTTTCTTCATGCGCTCGCACGAACATCCTCACGAAATTGAACAGTGTAGAAACAACTGATTCCAAACAAAGATGTTCGAGGATTAGTAAATTCTATTTCTCGATCGGGACCATATAGCTTGGAGGGTAGTAGCAAATACCTTGCTCGAAAGGGCAACGTGCTGGATCTTCGCCGAAATAAAGAGCGAGTGCATCGGCATTTCTACCCTGAAAATGTCCAAAGTGTAAGAGAATTTATTATAATGCTGCTTTCAAGATATAAATCAAAAACAGAGGAAAGAGCATCTCATACATACCACGTTAGAATAAAGAAAGGCAAGGGACCTCACTTCGGCCTCAGCATGAGAAAGGAAGTTTTTTAAAGTCTTGAGTATATCAAAGTAAACAGTATGATATCAGCAAGAGGAGAAGCAACTAAAACTCCTAATTTGAAGCCCTTCTTGAGCAAACTATTGTAGAACTGTCCTTCATTAACGGCTAGAATTTACCTGACAAAAATTTTCTGAAACGTGCCCGTCGTTCTCGGAATTAGCTAATTCCTGAACAACTTTCTCCAGCCCTTTGCTTATGGCTTGCATTTCCTCTGCCAAATATTTCAGTTGTATCTGCATGATTACTAAACGATTAACTTCAAAACAACACTGGAAATTGGTCAGAACTACACAGGAACGAAAGAATTGAAGAAACAATACCTTTGTAGAAGCTTCCAAACTCACAAGGTCCTTTGGAAAATCTAAAAGTTCTGGCAGCTTTTCAGCAAGCACCTGTGCTCAATCACGTAGATATCTTACAAAACAACATTTGCACGTATAAAACACGACATCGAAGTTCAATCCTCATCAACAAAACAACATTTCTTCAATTCAGCAAGTTCACTTCACCAGCCATTTAGATATATATATATATATTTTTTTTTTCCTATGCGTGTTAAATGCTACCTTTATAACGATCCGATAGTCAGATTATGACTAATCTTTGTCACAATATTAGAACCCTTTCCTGGTTCATGCTTAGGGAAGGGTTTGTGCATTGTCATTTTTACTATTTACGCACGATTTACGCTGAAACTTCCTCACCCTGCAGAATCGTCAAGAAGAAAACAACGTACGTGGACTACACAAATAGCATCGACAATAGCAAATCATTTGTACTAAGTGCGGTGGGACGGGAGCGTGCTTCACTGGAAGAGAAAAAGGGTCTTGCTGATTTACAATTCAAAGAAGACTGCAACACTCTGAGTGCAAGCCTAAGAAATTATTTGACAAGCAAAATAAGAAATGTATTGAACAGAACAGGAGAAGTCTACCTTACATAGATAATGCATGAGAGTCATCTTATTGTTTCTCGCTCGTGTATCAGTGAGTTTGAGGAGACTATCAAGCCGAAATCCAATCGCCGAACCTACATGAACAATAGCAAGAACCCATAAGAGCAGCACACTTGGAAGTCTTGGTAATACCCGTCAAAAGTTTTAATAAGCAGAAACTAAAGACAATGTTACAGCATGAATAAAAATATTGTCAGAATCAGTAAACACTAACGCTTGTTAGAAATATAATTCTTCATCGTTACAGCATGAATTTATTTACTTCTTTATAGACATCTTTAAGGCTTAAAGAAGTGACTTTATAAGTCAGATTTTATCTAGAACAATTTATTAAAAAAATCAATATTAAATTCATAAAAGATTAGTACAAGTTAAAGTAGCTCAAGATTTAAAAGAAGTTGAAATTCAAAAATATAAATTATGAAAGTGGTGTAAGAACATGTGTAAATAGTACTAATCTGTGATGCATATATGAAAGGGAAAAAGACTCTCTCACCTCTAGCCGTTCCGTGGTTCAAAGCGTTACCCAACGAAAGGATAGTTTGCATTACCCTTTTCAACTTTACCGAACTTCTGATCTGACGAACACATAGAGAAAGGGTTTAAAATGTGAAAAGGTCCAAATTAATAATAATATGCACTAAAATTAAGAAAATTCAGATTAATATGACTTGCCTCATCAGATGTCGAATTGATAGTGTTCAGATTATTTCTAAGTTCAGAGGCCTAGAAAGTGAAAATAGTGAAATTGGTGACGAGTAGTATAAAAATGGAAAGAGGAAAAAGGAATGGAATAATTAAATGGATTGTCGCCTCACCTGCAAATGGAATTGTATCTTGAAAGAAAAAACCCTTAGCTTGGACTCTACTCGTGGGACTTTCATCAATTCTAAAAAGAACTGTTGGGGGAAAAGAGAGAAGCAGGTTAATTTTTTTGTGGCAAACAAAATCTCAAAAACTAACATAAGAAACTAAACATATAATGGAAGGGTTGATGTAACAGCCCAAGCCCAAGCCCAAGCCCACCGTTAGTAGATATTGCTCGCTTTGGCCTGTTACATATCGCCGTCAGCCTCACAGTTTTAAAACGAGTCTACTAGGAAGAGGTTTCTACACCATTATAAGGAATGATTTGTTCCCCCTCCAACCGATATAGGACCTCACAATCTCACCCTCTTGGGGGCCCACCGTCCTCGCTGGCACACCGCTTGGTGTATAGCTTTTATACCATTTGTAATAGTCCAAACCCATCGCTAGCAAATATTGTCCGCTTTGGCCCGTTACGAATCGCTGTCAGCCTCACGGTTTTAAAACGCATCTACTAGGGAGAGGTTTCCATACCCTTATAAGGAATGTTTCGTTTCCTTCTCCAACCGACGTGGGATCTCACAGTTGAATTGATGATAAGTTGACTATGAGATTAAAAAAAACAAAACAAAACAAAACAAAAGCTGGAAGGGGAGAGAGAGAAAGGTATTAACACACCTGTTCACATTTTCCCAAGTTCTCCTTATCACCACTGTACCCCTGAATGTAAAAGCAGCAAAAAGAATTCAATTTCAGAAAAGTGGCAAGAAATATTTCCAACAAAATTCAGGTAGAGATCAAAGAAGACCACAAAGAATTAGTGCAAACTACAAGAAAATACAAAATGATTCAGACCACTGAATTTAGTCACTTGCACAGAAGGAAATAAGTATACCTTAAGTAATTCCATTTCTTCCTTTGTTGGACAAAACTTGATTAGGTTCTCAACCTGATCCACATCTAATGCCGACTCATCCAATGCAAGTACTGAACACTGAAAATGGTAATACCAAAACAAATAATCAGGAACTATGTAATGCATTATGATTTTGACGACGTGATTAAGATGTTTACTGTCTTGTTCATATACTGTTCAAAACCCTCGTTTTTTTGGCTTCGAGAAAGATGAATAACTCACCATCATATCGGGCAAAGGAATCTTAACTTTAGAGAGCATAATTTCGCAATTATATGCCCGTCGAAGTTCAATCTGCCAGAACAAGTGAAAACATGAATCATAAGTAGCTTTCAATGGAAATATTTAAAGATGTATAAAGGTCAGTGTGTTAGCCACAATTTTCCTATTATAACTACCAATGAGATATCCAATGAGGGGTAGATGTAATTATATTCGTACAAACTTAGAAAAGAATGTATGCTATGCACTAGTTGATACCTAAACGTAGGATAGTTCATATATATTTTTCACCTAGAGAATCAATGAATGGGATTGAACTCCTTAGACACCTAAAATTATGTCAGAACTGGCTTGAATCTTCAGTCAAAAGAAATAAACGTGATAATAAGTTTAATTCTTTGTTTACCAATTGAACTTTCTCTGATTTCGGCCCTGAGGCTAGGCGATTTGAATTTCCACCCACACCTCCAGATTTTGAATTTGGTGCAGCTGCAGAGAAAAGACTTTCAAGTTCGGACATGTCAAACTCCGGAGCTCTATCACAAGTAGATTAACTAAATTAAAAAAAAGGAAACTTATAATATATAAGAGACAACTAAAATATATGATATGTACTTGGAAGCTTCATCACTTTTTTGTGTCTCTGCCCACAGGCTTCCTTGCATGGCCCTCGTTAATTTTAACCAGTGATAAGGCTTCAAATTGGACCTTTTAGGTTGAGACTGGTTTTTGGCGTTCAAACGTCCAATGCATCGTGCCTTTGCACTGAATAGACCACTGGAAGGTGGTCCAGGAATAGAAGGTATGTTGCTGTTATTAGTGCCAACGTGAGACTGTGAGGAAGTACCATTGACATTTGAAAGTTTATTACCGTTGAGACCTGGGGGAGGGGGTGCAGGTGGAGCATGTGTTGCAGACTCCTTCATTGAAAAACCTGGAGGAGGAGGAGCAGGTGGAGCTGACGTTGCAACACCTGAACATAAGGTGGATCCAGAATTTGCAAAAGGTGGTGGAGGAGGAGGAGGGGGGGCAGAGACATTTGGTGCAAGACGAGGAGGGGGTGGCGGGGGTGGCACTGAAGATATAGTACTAGGACTTGAAGAAGAATGAGACGGGAGAGGTGGGGGAGGTGGAGCGCCAGGTACAACCGTTGAGTTCCTAACTACTGTGGCAGAATCTTGTGGTGCAAGACTAGGAGGAGGTGTGATAGTAGAATCACAAGTAGGTGTTGAACTCAAAAAAGATGGAGGCAAGGGTGGTGCGGGAGGTGGAGATCGGGGATCATGCCTGACTGTGATTATAGAGTCCTTCAATGAAGGAGGTGGAGGTGGGGGTTGGGGCACTGATGTTGGCAAGACAACACTAGCACCCAAGTTAGGGGTACAGCATGGAGGAGGAGGAGGAGGGAAGGGAAGGGTAGAGACACTCGTCAAGTTCTTCGTAGAAGATAACAGTACTTTCGTAGAAGGGGGTTGTGGTGCGGATGGGGAAAATGAACCATTCGTCCTACTAGTACATAGAGATGTTACTAAAGCCGAAGGTGAGGGATGAATGGGAACAGAAAATGGTTCCTTAGAAGAGGATCTTGAAGGTTCACTCTCATTGAAAGAGGGTGGGGACTCCCGACGAAAAGAGGTGGGTGTTGGTTGAGATGAAGAAGGTGACAATTGACTTCTCCCCCGTGGAGCGGCTTGAGGAGGTTGAGGATGTGAAAATTTTAGAGGTTTCAAGGAACGTTGGTGAAGTGTCAACGGATCAGTAATGGTTGAAGTTGGCAAAATAGGAAGCTTACTAGGTTGAATATCTTTCAGGGAATCTAGAGCACGCATACTCAACAGACCAGATGATGGTGAGGACATTGTTGGCTGTAGGACTTCTTTACCACTAAATGTGGAATGATCATGTAATAAAGCTGTAATGCCAAGAGCTGAGGGTGCACTGTGATATCTTAATATTGCGCGAGGTGAACCTTGCACAGAACTAGGGAAGGAGTCTGGCGTCGACAATGGAGGTTGAGGTACTCGTTGGGTGATGATTTTAGACTGAACTGGTAGTTGGAGAGCAACCTGCAATTCTGGGGGTTCAATCTTTGATCTCGCTGAACTTGCAGCGTGGGATAGTTCAAAAGAAGGCCGATATTGATCTGTATCCATCTTCGATCGGGGACTTATAACATCGTCTTCAGATGTCTCTGATTCCATAGCTAGTTTATCGAGAGATAAGTCGAGCATCTCCGTTCTCTCTAAAGGGCTGGAACTAGCCATTTTCTCTGTAAGAAAATTCGTAGCTGTTATTTTCTGGAGCATATTAAGAGCTGCATTAGCCTTTGGGCTTAGCCAGTCCTCAGTGCTAAAGATCTCTTGAACTCTTGCAAATGCTTCAATCGGAAGGCCATCTTTCTCCTCAATATTTGGCAATTCAATTGAAACAAGTGGTGCGGAAGCATCCATCTCTGAGAAAAGAATCTTCATCCAAACACAATTTATTTAGTCAAGAGAAGATAAACACAAGAAAGAACTAATAATAAAAGAGGTAACAATTGAACATACCTCTGCTCTGAAATCCTTTGGAAATTGATCGTTTGCATGCCATACGATATCAATGTCGTCACGGTTAAGCATCAAAATATTTGACCTTATAAATGCTGTGTTAAACATAACCCGAAACATCATCTCCTCCCTTACCAGATCATTGTCCAAACTTATACATTCAAGAACAACATCACCTTGTATATGGCAATGGATATCAATTTTAAGAAGTTCACAATCTACCTGTAACAAAGTAAGAAGGAATTACAGAAACAGCCAGAACCTACAAACCGTCAGCAATATGCATCCAAAAATCAAGCAACCACCCCTAGCAGATACTGTCCTCTTTGAACTTTCCCTCAAGATTTTAAAATGCGTCTACTAGAAAGAGGTTTCTACACCCTTATAAGGAATGTTTCGTTTCCTTCTCCAACCGATGTGGGGATCTCACACAGGTTTCCCACCAGAGACAAAACTATGAAATTTTACTTGCATAGTAAAATACTATTCGTCTGCTCTTACATGGAACACATGACTAAAGAGAAAAACGTTTCGAGAAAGAACTACTGATCTGCAGAAATTAGTAAGTCTTGGCATTGAAAAACTCGATAAACAGAGAAAGCAATTCCCGAAAGAAAGTTTCAAAAAATATGGACAGCCAAAAAGTGGGCAATATCCGCTCAATCCTCTATTTATAAGGGAAAAAAAAGAGTTCACCTGCTTAAACTGACGAACAAGTTTACTCTTTTTGGGGGTTGAGAACAATACTTTGGAAGTTCGATCCGCCACCAAAAAGGGATCCTGTCCATATATCCTGAATATTGGGCGGCAACCACCCTCCCCATCCATATTAGGAATCAATCTAATAATAATGCAGTCTAGAGTGAGCGCCCTGTCGAGCGGAGGCCATTGTGAGCCCACATTTCTTCTTGATACATATTGAAGATACCTCAACTGTGAAGGCATTGGGTTAAGTGGTGACATCAACTGCAAAAGCTCCCGAGGCGCTTGCTTGTAAATCATGTCCAAAGTTTTTTGCTCCCCTGCATATTGCTTCCTGTAAATCAGAAGAGCGGCCAACATGAAAGCCAAGACAGGCCACCCCCCTCTTTCACAATGCATCAAAAGTACATTTTGCTGCCCAAGTGAGAGCCAGCTTTCGCTGGATCTTAAGAAGTGGTGGATCATCTCCATGGTGAGTAGAGGGCAGCCTTCATATTGTCTCGGATAATCCATGACGGTCATATCATATACAGATAATATATTAGTAATGAGGCTATGACCCTCCCCTTCTCGAAAATTAAACACCATGAACGAAGCGTCAGTGAGACTCTCACGAAGCTTTCCTACAATGCCTCCAATATAGACCTTGTATTCATCCTCTTCCAATACCTCCGTCGTAAAGCAGCTATCGAAAACTGCACATACATTCACTTGTTCATTCTACTTCCCAATCATCTACAATCAAGCAACACTACACATGCATTTACAAGAAATGATTCATAACTTCGAAAAATATTCATTCAATACTCACAATTTAACGCACAAGTGTGTTGAATTTGCAGTATCTTTAAGGGGGAAAAAAAGTAGAACATATACAACCCCATTCAATACTCAATGATTATAAAGGCCCACAAATACAGAAGCTATAGTGACTTTTAGCAACAAATTTTCATGTAGAATACCATAATGTTACTTGAAATTAAACTTCAATCAACAGTTAATCGAAGTAGGACATACCATAAACCCTTTCGGATATCTCTAACAGCCCGTCCGGTGGCTTCCGATAAAAGAACTTGCGAAATAGGGCCATTGTGATATTGTGGTTTAGATCCAAATGAGCACAAAACCGCGCTCCTACAAATCAAATCCACAATTAGAACGAGCATTAGGACGACACATTGCAGCTAATTTCACCCTCGCGGACCACCAAATCCCCGGCGAGGACGATCAATTGCAGAATCTCATGATTGTGTATGGCAGAGAGTGTAAATTCCGGAACCAAAATGGAAACGGATTTCTTTATTGGCCTTGAAGCGAACACTTTCTTTCTGTGAGGCCGTCGTTGCCGTCACGTTCACACTTGATATCTCAAGATTGACTTAGCTTTCAATCAATTCAAGCTTCCATGTCCGAAGAACAGAAAAGAAAGAACCAGAAAGAAATTGAGAGAGAGAGAAAGTAGTGGAATATTCCAACAAATTTGGTTAACGAAGAAAAATTAGAATGACAGAGAGAACACTGTAAACAAAGAAAGAAATGGATATGGCGGTCGTTAATGGAGGATCTGAGGTTTGTCTCTATCTGTCTATCTCCTCTCTGTGACGCTTTCTCTAAATTTTTTTTTTTTTTTTTAATTAGTAAATCAATGTTAGTTGTTAATTACGATGACGATGATGTTTAAAATTTTGTTTTTTTTTTCTTTAAATTCTTTTTCCTTTTTGTTCTTTGCGTGAAATATTAAAAAACAAAATGATGGAAGTTAGATGAGATCTGTACCTGTTCAGCTTTTTACACGTGTGTTCCTCGGCCACTTTTAAAATATTCGCTGTATTTTAATCAATATATGATTTAGTTATAACATTTTACTAATATTAGCAGCTTAATATATATATATATATATATATTTAATTTAGTAACCATTTATAGCAATGTAATTCCAATTTGAAATTTTATATTAGAATTAATTGTTCGTTTTCATTATGCAATGGTTTTAATTTTTGTAGTATAAGTGTATTTAGTCTTTAATTATATTATTGTTACATGTAAATAGAAAATTATTAAATTTTAGTTTTTTTTTACTATATAAACTAAATTGCTATAAAAGTTAAAAACATTCCAGACTAAGTTGTTACGGCTTGAGTTGTTACAAATGGTATCAGAGCTAAACACTGAGTTGTGTGTGGTGGGTTGCAAGACTCACATCGGTTGGAGAGATGAATGAATCCTTATGAACGGTGTGGAAATCTCTCTTTAGTAGAACGCGGAACGAAGCTTAGTGTGTGATGGATTGGGTGTGAAGCTAAGTTGTCACCGCTTGAGTTGTTACAAATAGTATCAAAGTTAGACACTGAGTTGTGTGCGGTGGGTTGCGAGACCCACATTGGTTGGAGAGATGAATGAATCCTTATGAACGGTGTGGAAATCTCTCCTTAGTAGAACGCAGAACGAAGCTTAGTGTGTGGTGGATTGGGTGTGAAAACCTCTCTTTAGTATAACACATTTTAAAACTCGAGCAAGTCTGAAAAGAACCATATCTAGTATATGTTACGCTGTATAACTTATTGGGATGTGATGCTTGTCACAACACATGTTTATATATAAATCAAACTAGGGTTTATGTTCATATTAGAATAGTTGGAGTCGTGTCTCTATATATGGGAGTTGACTTAAGATTTATGATTGTTGTCTCCTTGTTCGACTCACGTAGCTCGAATGAACACATGCAATTAATTAAAATTAAGCTCGACTCTAAGATCTTAATACCTTTAGTCGTCCTCTTTTTTTTTTGGAACGCAAGTAACGATTTGATAATAGATAACAGAAAATGCATTAATCTCATAGATTTCAACATTTATTTCAGACTAGAAATACCTTTAATCAAAATATTCTATATTTGAAATAAATGGAAGTTGATTATCATTAAATTATGCTAACAAAAGTAATATTTATATATGCCCTGCCAAATTACCAAATCCAGAATTTAAAGTTAAAATCGGAAAACCATTTAAAGGAAGTGTAAGAAATTAGGTAAATAAAAATTAAAGAACGAAACATTATCTTAAAAGAATTTAGAATTGGCGGGAATTTGAAATGTTAACAATTATACACAGAAACTATTGAGTCCAATCCAATTTCATTTTCAGTCATTAACACCAAATTGAAAAATCATCAACACTTTGAAATGATTGAGCGCCAATTCTCCATTATCAGACACGACGAAGTTATTGAAGATCTTAATCAAGCCTGGAGAAAACGAGGACGTCCGAAGTGATCGCATTCTCTCTTATGAAGTTACCTTTAATCTGAGTAGAAGACGAGGACGGCGACGGATTTGCCGGAGATTTTGGTTTGTCCGACACCGGAGAGCGCCTGCCGGCGAATTCTGTGGGAGCTTACCGAAGCGGAGGAGAGCGGAGGAGGAGGTTAAGAGAGGAAAGAAGACGGAGGTCCGTTGATGTGTAGTAGGTGCTCGAGGATTGGAGTGGACGGCGGCGCTTCGTCGTCTTCACCGGCGGAGATTGTAGGGCCAGGTGAGCGAGTATGATTGAATCGATTTCCAATTGGTAATGCTATTTTATATGTCGATGTTTGGCTGCGTTGATTGAGAATATATTCAAAACGATTAGGAACTGAAGAAATGGTAATGTTCCAAGTCCGAATGGATTATGCATAGCTACCTCTGAATCTGGCAATTCGTATGCAGTCTTTGAAATTTTATAGGTCCAACAACCTAAAATGTTCATAAAATTCCTAATATAGCAAACATTTCATTAAAATTATTTCAAAGCACTTTGTTCATTTGGATGGTTCAAATTGTTTAAATCATTTTTGTCTAAGCTAGCGAATGTCAGGAACAGATCGACGAACTCGAATCTGAGTTTGAGGCCGAGTTAGAACATTTGCAGCTCCCCTTGGATGTTGAAAGTTCATCAGGACGCATAGAGAAGCTAAGAATTAAGGTACATACGAAGGAACATTCTAACATTTCTTGATTACCTTTTCTTTTCAAGTAGACTTGATTGGACTGGTTGGTTTGGAAATGTTGTTGCATTCTACCTAAAACTTGAGGTGTATCATTAACGATTTTCTTATGCCTTGGTTTGATCTCCTTATTTGACCTTATGTCCTGAGACCATACCACTTGTTTTTTGTGAGAATTTACATCGGTCGGAAAGTAGAACGAAACATTTTTTTATAAAGGTGTAGATATCTTTACTTACGTAGTTTAAAACTGTAAGGTTGACAGCGATACGTATCAAGTCAAAGTAGATAAACTATATGCTAGTAGTGAGCTTGGGATGTTACAATTTCTGGACTTTTTTCTATATAAATTTAGTGACACTGCTCAATTTCCTATAAAGATGTACATATATGGTTTGACTATGTAGTTCGTGATGTGATCACTCATCCTACTTAAAAAGTGAAAAAATGGTGGATGGTTTTATTACCCCCACATTGGTATCTTTAATTTCATAGAGTAAAATTCTATAGGTCCAAGCCCAAGCCTAGTAGATATTGTCTTTTTTTAACTTTTCCTTTTAGGCTCATCTTCAAAGTTTTAAAACGAGTATGTTACATAGAGGTTTCTACACCCTTTACAAAAAATACTTCGTTCTCCTCTCTAATTGACGTGGGATCTCACAATCCACTTCCCTTGGTGGGGCCGCTGCTCAGTGTTTAGCTCTGATGCTAGTGATAATAGTCCAAGTCTATTGTTAATAGATATTGTCCACTTTCTCATATTTATTTCGAGACTTTTTACATAATTATGTGTAATGTGGGATCTCTCCAACCGATAAGAACACATAGAAATCAACGTTGAGAAAATTTTGTGTTATATCATGTGTTCATGCCCTTCTGTTTTTTCCTTACTCGTGGACTTGTAAATTTGTATACGACATGTCTCAACAAGAGAGAAATCAATATTATTCAAATAGAAATGAATACTATAGGAGTTCGAACTTTGGATTATGTTGCTTTAACCCTAAAATGTGAGGTTGGAATGATGATGAACAGAGATATGGTGGATATGCCGAAAGCAGGGGTGTAGGTTACTTCATTTTGAAGATGCGCACCGAAGAGCATGAAAGGGTGAAAGAAAGGTCAATTCAAAAATCACAACCGACCATGCAATCAGATTCCTTCTTATCTTAATTAGGTACTGTCCCATTGCAAATTCTCTTGCTCAAATTTTGCCAAAATCCCCCTCGAGTCTCAAATATTTAGAATTTTGACACTCTTAGTTGGATGCTTGCAAATATGCCGAAGTTCGAGTCTTAGGGCCTCCTTTTAAAACTTCTTTTTACTTTTTCTTTAGATTCCATTTAATCCCTTTAAAAACCTTAATTAATTGCTTTTTTTTAAAAACAAAATTCCATATTTGATTTTTTTTAATTTAATTTATAAACACTCCTCTACTTATTAATTTATTTATATTTATTATCTATGTTTTGAGAGGATTTTTTTTTATGAAAAAAAAAAAAAACCCAAAATCTGAAAACTAAACAAAAAAAATTAATTTCTTTTTATTTTTTATTTTTTTTATATATAGTTTAACTACAAATTTAAATATCAGTAAGATAAGATGAAAACAGTGGTGCAGAATTTATAAATAATAATAATAAATGGGAACTTTTGAAAATGGTTGCTTTCTTCATATTTGATTTTAAAAAAATATATAATTTAAATAAGATAGAATGATTCTCACGTTATTTATGCGTAAAAATTACGCATTAACGATTTTAAAGTAAAATTTGAATCAACGATCTAACAAATATGGTTGATTTCGTTGATGAACTTCTTTCTATTAAATTTAATTTAAGTATAATTTAATTATAAAATATCAATTAAGTATCTCCCAGCAGGAAATAATAATAATTACTATAAAATGTAAATATGGTAACAAAATGTTTAGAGGGCTAACCAATAAATAAAATAAACTAACAACCGTCCAATCACATTAAAAAAAAAATTAATTAATTAAATACTTTTCAAACTTGGCCTTTTGAATTATTCCGTCAATTTATTTATAATATTTTTTTAAAAAGTCGGATCCCATTCATTATTCTTTCTTTCGCTGGTTAATTGTAAGACTTGAAAGAGAGGTTGACGTCCACAAATTAAAATTTGTATATTTTAATTACTAAAAAATAATTGTTCGGTAGGGTTCATTCATAAAAAGATAAACAATATTTTAAAATAATAATAATAATAATAATAAAACTTTAAAAAATTAAAATAAAGGATTCAAAAGGGAGGGAGCAAAATCATGATGAAATGTTTCTTATCTCTTAATTACGTTGTCAATAAAGCATGATGAAATGTTGACCTCCCATTTATTAAAAAACGATAATTTTATTAGAAAATAAAAGTAGTTTCATTATCCATTCGATTATAGGTTAAATTTTTCTCGAGGTGACATAAACAAACAATTAGGTGAATTTCGACTATCATTTCTATTAATAATTCAACCCTAACTCTATCTAACCATGCTTCGTTTATAATTCTAATGATAGATTTGAAATTACACCATTTGGTTCAATTTTTTAAAATATTTAGAGATTAAATAAAAGTTTAATTAAATGTATCCGCATCATAATTTGACTTTAAAAGATAATCGAACGGTTGGAGATATTTAATATAAACGGTTAAGATTAAAGTTAAAGTGTAGAGATTATTATACTTGAAAGCTAAGTGATAGGTAATGTAAAATTTAAAAAATTAATAATAATAAATTAATTGATTAAAAAGAAAAGAAAAACTGATAGGTCATTTGATAGATAAGGAAGCATCTAAATAAAAATATATCTAAAAAATGTTGAGGATAATCTGACCGTCAAAAGGTATAACAAAAGAAGCGACGGTTGAGATCGTTTTCGCACAGAAATTGGGGAAAAATGGAATTACCAAAATTGTTTAGGGGGCTCGCGTCAGAAACCCTAATTGGTACATACGTGTCCAATTGAAACGTGATGCTATAAATTGGCCTCGTCCTCTTGACTCGTACGCTCCTCCTTCCTCTCGTTTTCCTTCTGCTTCCACCGAATCGCACTGTTTGACACAGAAGAAGAAGCTCGGAAGCTGCAGAAGAACTAAATCTTCAGCCATGTCGGACGAGGAGCACCACTTCGAATCCAAGGCCGACGCCGGAGCCTCCAAGACCTACCCGCAACAGGCCGGAACCATCCGGAAGAACGGTTACATCGTCATCAAGAACCGTCCATGCAAGGTGATTTGTTGTTTTTGTCTATTGCCTTAGTGCGTTTGTTGCGATGGTTTGATTTTTCCGTTTTTTAATCGTCGGATGTTGTTTTGTGTGGTTCGCTTTGTGATGTTCAGGGTTCAGTTTCGTATGGGGCGTTTAGATCTTTGGTTGATTTGAGAGTTTTATTTTGCCCGATTACTGATTGTACTAATTTCCGTGTGATTTATTGCGTATGATTGAGTGTTAAATTAGGAAGAATTAATGAATCTGATGTTGAAATTACCATTGTCGATTATACCGACAATATTTGTTCAGAGTTTCGAGGTTTTTTTTTTTTTTTTTTTCAACTTTGACTTCGAAGAGTCTCTTGATGGTTGGGTTTCGTTTGGTCAACGTTCAACAGTGTGCTATTTTCTCCTCCAACCTTTCCTTAGAGGACGCTGGTGTTAACAGTTGTTTCCAGTGTAGTTGTAATTGAATCTTGATCTTATCTGGAGAACATAATTTTATGGGTATCATATTTACCATTTGGGTATTTTCTCTTCACCAACCACGTGGCGCGTTTATTTTATTGGAAGCGTTCTTGCTTCCAATAATTCGTGTAAAAGTCTAACGAGGCTCTAGAAGACTAATTGAATAATGCTACTAAATTATAATTCTAGGCATTGAAGTGGATAAGCACGTAGTCTTCCTTATTTGGAAGCGTACTCTTTAAGCATTGTTTCTGTGGGTCCAAACCCACTTTTTGAAAATTTTTTCTCTGGTTTGGTAATGCAGGTAGTTGAGGTTTCAACTTCTAAGACAGGCAAGCACGGCCATGCGAAGTGTCACTTTGTTGGAATTGACATCTTCACTGCCAAGAAGCTCGAAGATATTGTTCCATCATCCCACAATTGTGATGTAAGGACTCTATTTATCTTGGGAATCATTGTGCTGTGTTTGATTTGACCGTTTACACTAATGGCTTTTATTTCATGCTTTGCAGGTGCCTCATGTTAATCGTACTGATTATCAGCTGATTGATATCTCTGAGGATGGATTTGTGAGTAATTTGGTTATATGAGTTTGTTTGAATTAAATTGGTCTTGATGATTTGGATAAACTTGTTTGTAGAGTTTAAATATGTTTGTATAGATATCTAGATTTTTTCGGAAGTACACATGTTTCAGTTTGTTTTGGTAATTAATTCCAGAGGTGAAGTTCTGTCAGATTGTCCAGTATTGTTTATTTGGTGTCTGTAGACTCTCTACTCCATAGATTCGTAAGGGAAGGAACCGGGCAATTGGGTTATTCACGGTAATGTGTTACTTCCAGATGGGGATTTGTGTGTGTGCTGGGGGTGGGGGGTGCTGATTATTAACCATAGAAGGAAGCAATGGGTCATTTGCAGCGTGTAAAGCTGGTTTCATTAATCGAATGTTGGTTTTCTATTGCTGCAGGTGAGTCTTTTAACTGACAATGGCAACACCAAGGATGACTTAAGGCTCCCAACTGATGACAACTTGCTCTCTCAGGTAAAGGCACAATCAGATTCGATATTGTGTAGACTTGAAATTTGAAGTTAGTTAATCAAGCAGACTTAATATTCTGTTCTTAAGAGATTTTTGAAGATATGGCCATATGGGTTTAATCTTAATGTTATGTTTTTGTAATGATCTGACTTCTTAATGAATACAAACTGAATCTGTTGTTTGAAATTCACAGATTAAGGATGGTTTTGCCGAAGGAAAGGACCTTGTCGTGTCGGTGATGTCTGCCATGGGAGAGGAACAAATTTGTGCCCTGAAGGATATCGGCCCAAAGAATTAGCTGCGTTTTACACCAAGTTAAGTCGTTGTGTCAACTGCTTTTGTCGCCAAAATTCCTCGATTGAATCTTGAAATGATGGTATAATTAATTAGCAGAGACTTTGTATCTGTTAACTCTTCTTCCCCACCTCACCTTCTGGCCCTGGATGTATGGTTGGTTCGTGCATCATTACTGTGTTTTATGTTGTGTTATTTTATGAGATTGGGTTTTTGGATGCTTACTTTGATAATCGAAGTGAATAATTTTTGCGAATGCAGTTTGGCTCTATAATGTGTTTGTTTGATTATTCCTGAAATTTTCACCTGTCAACTGTTAAATGGAGTTGCTGAGTCACCTATTTACCAAGCTTTGAAGACCAAAAAGAAGTTATTTTTACCCTTGTAATTTTGTTTTTACTTGTTAAACGAGCCTATTTTTACCGCTGTTCCAACATTTTCTTTTATAAGTTTAAAGTTTAATTGTTGTTAAAAAAGTAGCCCAGAAAAAACCAGTACAGTTTCTTTCATTATTCTTTCGTCGGCATGCTACCAAAACAGGAGGGGTTAATTTTACGACATGTCGGTTTGCGAAAGAAGATATATTCCAGAGGACCAATAATTATGGTAGGGAAAAAAATGAAAGATAAGAAAGAAAATCTGGTTCTTCCAATTTGGAATTCCGCGTGGGGCCACGTCACTCCCATAGAGCAGGCAATCACGCCGCGCCGAATCATCCCGTCGCCGGAAATTACGGCCGATTCTTCTCCACCGCAGGTCCGGCCTACCGTCACCATCCACTTCTTTCTCATTAATTCATTTTTCGTAGGTTAGAAGCCATTTCTTCTTTCGCTTTGTCAATAATTCAGTGTCTCGGAACGTTTCCTTGTTTTTGGTCCTCGTCCTTCCATTGCCACAAGTTTTCGAGCGCTAACATTTATCATAATTCTTCTCGGATCTCGAACCTCTATAACTGGAAGAGCAAACTAGCTTCAGAGCCGAATCGAAACGTGCAGGTCAGCCGTTTTTCTTAATCGATATATACTTTTAATGCCG